CCCGCGGGCCCTGGGTGATGGCCCGGCTGCGGCAGCCCATGCGGGCCTGGTCCCGGCACGTCCAGTACACCTTGTCCCCGGACGCCTTCTCCCGTCTGTATAGGAACGAATTGTGCACCAGGAAGTTGCCCCCCAGGGGGGTCTTTAGGAACTCGGGGCCACCTGAGGAGAAGCCAGGCCAGGTCAGGGGGTGGGGCGTGAGGTAAGGGCAGGGAGGCAGGGATGGAGGGGCTGGGGCTGGGCCCAGCTCCTGGTGGTGGGGTCCAGGAGGACCAAGACTCACCCGTGTCCACATTCTGGTCCTCAGCAGGGGGTCCCTGAGGAGCTGGGGGCTGCTTCCGGTGCCCCTGATCTTTGGGCTTGGTGCGATTCCTGGGTCTGGGTCTACTCAGAGTGAGGGAGCCGGGTCCCCGGCGGTAAAGAAGACTGTCCACACCTCGGAGCAGCTTGTCTGCGGGGCCCCCAGGGCCACCTGGCTGCGCCTGCAGCAACTCCATGGCCTTCTCCTGCTGCCGCCGGGCCTCCAGGCCCTCCATGTCGGGTGGGTGGCTGTGGGCTCGCATGATGGTGACCCGCGCGCCCTGTGTAATGGCGCGGCTGCGGCAGGCGTGCAAGGCATGCTCCCGGCACGTCCAGTACACCTTGTCCCCCACGGCCTTCTCCCGCTTGTACAGGAAGGAGTCGTGCACCAGGAAACTGCCCCCGTAGCATGTCCTCAGGAACTCCAGGGGCTGTGTCTCGCCTGGGGGGAGCCGGGCCGTTACCATGAGGAAGGGGAACAGGGGCAATGTGGACACGCTCGCTCCCCGCCCCCCAGACAGAGGGATGGCAGGCACTTCTCTCCCCTCCCCGGGCCACATGTGTTCCTGGAGCTGCCGTGCAGGGAGTCCCCGGGTCCACTCCTGTGAGGGGCCGAATTGTGTCCCCCAAGCAGGCGTGCTCGAGTTCTGAGCCCTGGTGTCTGCCAGCGTGACCTGTGTGCCAATGGTCTCTATATACGGCATTGGGTTACACTCAGGCCATACTGATTAAGGTGGCCCTGGAGCCAAGGGGAGTCCCTGGGGAGTACAAATGATTAACACACTTGGCCGCTAACCAAAAGGCTGGAGGTTTGAACCCCGAGGTGCCCAGGCAGAAAGGCCTGGTGACCTGCCCCCAAAGGCCACCGCCTTGAAAACCCCCCAGAGTGCAGTTCTGCTCTGACCACATGGGGGCACCACAGGTCAGAATCAACGAGGTGACGACTGGTGCAAGACCAAGGTGGGGCTGGAATCAACTCAGGCCTGAAGCCCAAGACTCTCCCACCAGGCCGCCTTTCCAAACTTACGGGATGGCTGCTGTGCCCCAGTGATGTCGGGTGGACTCCTACTCGTGACGCCACACAACAGCAACAGAGCTGCCCCAGCAGGGTGCCATGGCTAACATCTTTACGGAAGAAGACCTCCAGGTCTCTTTTCCCACAGAGAGTGGTAGGTTAGAACACCTGACCTTTCAATTAGCAGCTGAGTGCTTAACCATTGTGCCACCAGGGATCCCTACTTTGACTAAAACCATTGTTATCCAGTCAATTCCAAGTCACAGCGCCCCTAGAGGACGGAGTGGAACTACCCACAAGGTCTCCAAGGCTGTCAATCTTCATAGCAGCAAAGCCCAAACCACACCCACTGCTGTGGAGTCCATTACGACCCACAGCGCCCCTAGAGGACAGAGTGGAACTGCCCACAGGGTCTCCAAGGCTGTCAATCTTTATAGCAGCAAAGCCCAAACCACACCCACTGCCTGGAGTCCATTCCGACCCACAGCGCCCCTAGAGGACAGAATGGAACTGCCCACAGGGTCTCCAAGGCTGTCAATCTTTATAGCAGCAAAACCCAAACCACACCCACTGCCTGGAGTCCATTCCGACCCACAGCGCCCCTAGAGGACAGAATGGAACTGCCCACAGGGTCTCCAAGGTTGTCAATCTTCACAGAAGCAAAGCCCAAACCACACCCACTGCCTGGAGTCTATCCACTCACAGCGCCCCTAGAGGACATTCGGTTTCCAGGCTGCCATCTTTAGGGAGGCACACTGCTACATTTCTCTCCCATAGAGCAACTGGTGGTTTGTGTACTGCTGACCTTTCTGTGAGCAGCTGAGCACACTACCACACAGCCACCAGGGCTCCTACTGAAGTGACTACCAAGTTAAAGCTCAGATTTCTGGGCTTCACACCAGACCCCGCTGCAGCAGAAAACTGTGGAAGGACCTGGGACCCCCCACGGGTGAAGGACTATCAGGACGTTTATATCCGTTACGGTCACTGGACCTCCAGGGGTTCCTAAAGCCGGCGGGCCCCCAGCTCTACGCAGGCACAGGGGGCACTCACCTGCCTCTGGTGCCGGGCGCTTCTTGGGAGGCAGGCTCAGCTGGGACAGGGCCTGGAGCCCCTCACCCTCCTCCAGGGCTGGCCGGTCCAGCTCAGGGGCTGGCTCCTCGGGGCACAGCCACGGGCCCACGCCCTCCAGGGGCTCCTCTGTGGGGGTCCCGGGACTCCCCACACCCTCTGGCAGGGCCGGGCTGGGCAGCTTCTCTCTCTGGCGACGCGCTTCCAGGCCCTCTGGGTCGGCTGGGTGGCAGTGGCCCCGCATCACGGTCACCCGTGAGCCGCGGGTGATGGCGCGGCCCCGGCAGCCGCGCTCTGAATGCTCCCGGCACTTCCAGTACACCTTGTCCCCTACCGACTTCTCCTGCTTATACAGGAAGGAATCGTGCACCAGCAGGCGGCCCCCGAACGGGGTCTTCAGGAACTCCAGGGGCTTGAGGGCTGTGGGGACGAGGGGGCATCAGCAGAGAGCGAGGGGTGACCCCCCGACCTGAAGGGACCTGCAGAGCCCACAGCGGCGCCAGAGGCCAGGCCCTTGGGGCACGGTGCCGACGCCCCAGGAGGCCGGGGACACTGTACGCTGCTTCCATTCTGGGGCCCTGCCCCACACCAGCCTGGGACGTGGTGCTGACCAAGGATGAGGGGGCCCAGCCCGGAGTGATGCCAAGCCCACCCTGCTGGCAAAGGCGGTGTGGAGCCTCACCTGTGTCCAGCCTTAGGCGTTTCACCTCAGGAGGCCAAGTGCTTGGTGGAACGGCGCTCCGCTCCTTGGCCGGCAGGATCTGCAGGGCCTTGGTGAGAGTGTCCGGGCCAGACATCTCCAGGGACATTATGCAATGTGTGCCCTTGGGCCTGGAGCCCAGCCCATGCCTGCTGTGCCCGGCGGCCGCCAGCAAGACCAGCCTGGGAAACCTCTTGGGGATCCTGGGGGCGGCGGGGATGAGGTCAGTGCCAGGCTCGCGGGTGGGTTCCTGGCCGGCCCGCATGCTTTCGGCCTCCTGCTCGCTGGGCTCGGGCAGGGGCATCCTGGGACAGGGCTGCCCACAGGCCACGCCCAGGCCGGCAGACGGATGCTAGCTCCTCCTCTTCCTCCTCTCTGGCAGGCACCCAGGGTCTGATGGCTTTTACCTACGGTAGCAGATGACATCCCAGTCAGTGGAGGCCTAGAGGGCAGGGCTCCGGAATGGAAGATCGAGGCTGGGCAGATGGGGCTGGGGACCCACGACTGGAGCCAGGGAGCCGTGGGCCTTGGGTCCTTCCCCTCCCCACCCTCCCACTGCCCACTGTGAGTCACTCTGTCCTCCTCACAGTCATCTCCTGACTCTTCCAGCCCACGTTCTGACGACGTTCTGACGCAGTTTACAGATAAGGACTCTGGGACGGCCCCGGGTAACCATAAAACGTGAGCAGCAGAGCTGGGACTGCAGCCCAGGGGCTCCCAGTGCCTGGTGGCCCCACCCCCGGGTAAAGTAACTGGGGTGGCTGGGAGACAAGCAATTGGGAGACAGGAGCGCAGCTCACCCACCCTTAAGGTCTATGCCCCACTAATGGATGGGGAAACTGAGGCAAGAAACCAGCGACAGGGATGAAGGGGCCAAAGTGGAACTGCACTGTTGGCCTCCTGTCCCACACCTTCACCCAGTGCTACAACTTGGCCTTGAGAGAGAGGCTCTGGGCTCGTGTAGCCCCAGCCCAGCCCTGAGGTCCAGGCCACCCTGGCAGAAAGGATGAACCAAGGGCCCCAGGTGAAAGGGCAGGGCTGGAAACCCCAGCCCCTCGTCATCACTGTGGGTGGCCTGTCTGCTCTTTTGGAGGGGTAGTGGTCGGATGGTGGGGTCCCTCCCACCTTCCCAGGCCACAGCCCCCCCATCAGCTTGCCCCTTGAGAACTGTCACTGCCTTCTCTCCGAAGGTTCATGGTCTGGGGTCCGTATTCAGCTCCCCAGCCACCCCGTGGGCCCAAGAGCAGGATCTCAGGGCGCAGGAGTGACCCCACGCTGAGAATCAGGAACGCGGCCAAGCCTGAGTGGCAATGGGGCTGTGTCCCCGCCGCCACCGTGTACCCTCACGGCTCCCACCCTGAGGGGCCTCCAGGGGCAGAACTGTGAAAACCCGCCTGTCACAGGTGAACAAGTGGGGTCCCCGGGAGCGCTGGTGGCTAGTGCCTAAGGCATCTGACTGCTAACCAGAAGGCTGGCGGTTCAAACCCGCCAGCCACTCCCCCGAAGGAAGACTGGGCAATCTACTCCCGTAGACACCGCCTCAGAAACCCAAAGGGTCGCTGTGAGTCGAATCTCACTTGATGGAAATGATTTTTTTTTTTAAACAGGTGGGGGTCCCAGGGCCCGCGGGCGACCTGCCCCTCCGCGCCATCACGGGGCCCCTGGTCCAGCACTCGGACAGGCCACCCCTGCTCCTTCCGCGGGTCGTCCTGTCCAACCCCACAGAGCACCAGGGCAGGAAAAAGTTCCGGCAAGAAGCCGCGCCCACCCGAACGGCCCGCCCCGCCCCGCCTCCTATTGGACCCGGAGGACGCCCGTCTGCCGGCGACCCGCCCCTCTGGCGCGCACCTCGCGGTCGGCGCGTGTCGTGTCCGAGCTTGCGCTCCTCCCTCCAGCTCCTCGGCCTGGCCACCAGGACTGCGAGACGGGGCCCCACTTCTCTGCAGCCTTCTCAGTTCCCCAAAGTCCCTAAGTCCTCGCCATCTTTCCCCATTCGGCAAGTGACAAACCTAGCGGCTTTGGCTTTTGGGCAGATGTAGTAACTCTCAACCCCGGAAGGACTGCGAAACCCCGGCCGTACTTCCGGTTTGGAGCATTTCCGAACTAAAGCGCACCCCCACCCAGACGCCAAGTGCCTCTGAGAGCTCTTTTAGAGGACCTGAGACGGCGTGCGCGGGACAAGACTACTAGGGAAGGGGCGGCAGGTGAACAGCGCGTCTCGGAAAACCCCTGGCACGGTCCGGCACAGCGCGGTTTCTGAGCCCGGTTATCCCTCCGCGGCCCAGTGTCAGCATTTTTATCCAGTTTGGAGATATATAGATATAGATCTCGGAAGGAAGGTCGGGCAATCCTACTTCCGTAGTGATACTGCCTCCGAAACCCAAGGAGGGGTCGCTATGAGTCGGGTTTGACTCGACGGCACATAACAACAACATATATATATAGATATACATCTTTTAGCATTTTACTGTGAGTTGAGTGCGTTTCCGGAGCAAACTGGTTTTCCATTCACCTGGTGACACACGTCCTGCTTTGGACACTGGGTGCAATCCGCAGTGTGCCAGCTCTTCCCACCCTTCCCGGTGGTCGGCGTCCCTCCCCCCTCCCTTCCCGGCCTTCCTGCCTGCTGCTGCCCTTTGGAGCGTCAAGGGCTGGTATCCTGAGGACTTCACCTCACCGGCCCGTCTGGGGCGTGGCCGAAGGTTGGGTCAAGAGCGGTGAGTTCAGTTTCAGCTCAAAGGGCGACTCGGGACAGTCCCGGGGGTTCCAGCAGTCTCAGACCAGTCGGCTGGTCCCTGGGATGATTTTGCATCTGGGGCCCTTTTTCTCCCACTCTCTCGTCACTGTCTGCACAGACAGCGTGCAGATTTGATCCTGTTTGGAAATGCCGCCTCTCCGCCCAGCTGCACCCTCCAGGCCCTTCTCAAAATCCCTCCCCTCCTCCCCTGCCTCCCGGCCTCTCTCCCTTCCTGGTCTTTCCAGCGAGGTTCGAAAGTCTCTGGCCTAAGACGAAACAGCAGACGTCCAGTCACCCACGCCCCTCCTGTCACCGCGGCTGCCTGGCAGCTGCCCAGCCCTACACTCAGCACCGCGGGGCACGCGGCCGGGCTTGGTCATTGCGAGAGCCACAGAGCCTCGGGACCCCTGCTCTGGAGCCCTGCGCCTGGCTGTCAGGGAGAGCGAACCCCCACGGAGCAGACAGACCTGACCCAGGCCAACCCGCCAGATGGCAGCCGCCGTCCTGACAACTGCCCCCCGTCGGTTCAGCCAACCAGCATTTACTGAGACTCGACACTCCGGCTCCTGTGCTAGATGCTAGGACAAGACAAAGACGGTCCAATGCCACCCGCGTCACTGCTGCAAGTCCCGGGATCCGAGTGGCAAGACCAGCCCGGAGAACCGAGACGAAGTGGGAGGCGTGTGGGAATGGTTTCCCAGAGAGGACACGGTGAACAGGTTGGGGGCTGCAGGCAGGCAGGGAGAGGCGGTCAGGACACCTTGGGCTCAGAGGTGGTGCAGACAGCTGACAGCACAGTGACTAGTCAAACGGGATTCAAACCCCACTTCAAGGCACCTCAGAGGAAAGGCCTGGTCATCTGTTTCTGAAACGTCTGAACCCACCCAAACCCAACCCACTGCCGTTGGGGTTGGCCCCGACTCATAGCGACCCCTCCTTGGGTTTCCGAGGAGGTATCTCTACAGGAGTAGATTGCCTGACCTTCCTTCCGAGGAGTGGCTGGGGGGGTTGAACCGCCAGCCTCCTGACATTATGACCCTTAGACACCCTTCAGGCCTGGAATTGAACTTACCCCCATGGCTCAACTTTGAGCCAAACGATAGTCCTATAAGGTGAACAGTAACACCAGGGAGGTGCCCACTCCTTAGACCAAACACCCAGACAAGATCCGAAGGGCAGCATTCGCCTGGGGAGGAAGCTCCGAAGGCAGGAAGGGACGGGGAAGGACGAAGGGAAGCAGGAAACCCAGGGAGGAAGTGGGAAGAGGGCTGTGCAGTGTGGGGACTGCGGCCAGGGTTGAAACACGATGTGTGTCAACTGCTGAACGGAAAACCGACGTGCTCCGGAAACTCACCTGCCACGACTGAAAACACCAAGACCCTGCCGAGCACATTTCCTCGTGGACTGGAATCAGCTCCACAGTGACTGCCCACCACAGACACACAGAAGACGGCAGCCTGGCCCGGGCGGCTGGGAGAGCGGCAGCACTCCCCGGAGCAGGTGGGCTTTGGGCTGATGGCCGGGGGCTGGAGGAAGAGCCCGAGGCTGCAGGCAGCGAGCAGGCGACCGCCGGACGGGCCCAGCCCGGCCCGGGTCCGACTCTGGCAGGGCCTGCGCGCCTGAAGCAGGGAGCACAGCTGGGGTGGTCTGTGGGTGCACACCTGCTGTCTCACCTCCAAACACTGCGAAATTGTGACAGGAAAAAAAAAAAACCCACTTCTCCAGGCAGGGCTTGTCACTCTCATGTGATGCTGGCAGCCGTCCAAAACTAGAAGGCACACAGTGGTTGTCACGAGGACTCGGAAGTCCCGCGAGTTCAGAGGCCTGCCCAGTGCCCGCCAGCTGGGACCCCGACGTCGGGGCTCTGGCGCCCGCCCGACTCTGCCTGTCAGGATCACACGGTGCCGGGCCCTGCGTGAGGCGCGCTTCCAGGAAGAAGCGTCCAGGGTGTGCCCGAACTCACACTGAACTGTGTGGCCCCTTCTTGGTGTTTTACGTCGGGCGGCCCTGGTCCTGGCGCCCCCTCCCCGGCTCCTCAGCTGCCCACCTGCACCACACGGTACAGCTCGGTGGTCACTGGCCCCAACCCCAGATAATCCCCTTCTGGATTTCCTGAACCCCCATACTCCCCACTGCCCTTGATCTCGAGGTGACCCCCAGCTCTGAGACCCCCTCCCCTTGGCGACCCGGAGCTGGGCTCCGCAGGTTTCGAGGGCAGCTGAGCGTGCCGGCAGTCTCCCCCACCCAGGGGCTCCAGGTCGTGTAGACGCCCCTGGACGAGCGAGAGAGCACGTGGCCGCTCGAAACTCCAAGGGAAGTTTCATGCCTCGGACCAAAATGGTGTCTGTCATGCCAAGGACTCCGCGAAGTGTCCAGCACCCAAGCAAATGCGACAACCACGCTGATTCGTTAGTGGGTTTTCCAAAATGCAAAGTCAAAATACCAGGGATATGCAACGTCCACATTAGTCTCAGTAACTCATAGCAAATTTAGTTACACACACCTGAACACGTGGCTCCCCCTTTACGGCCGGAAGTCCACCTGCAGACCAGGTGGGCCTTAGGTCC